GGATAAGAGAATAAGTTCTTCATGTGTGGAAAAGAGCCAGTGATTCCACAGCAGATGGGCGTGGGTGGACTAGGACTTATTTTCCTTTCACTACGTTTTATTACATTGATGGTTTTGAAGTGGAGAATGTGATTAGTGTTGATATGTACAGCATGCATCATTTTGCTCGCTGACATTATTGGGTCTTAAAACTGGACAGTATGCAATAAGCACTACAAGATGAAGTGTATCTTATGACTTTGATTTCGAACACAATTATAGCGTACTATGTTGAGTTGTTATTATATTTAACCTTTTGGATCCCGGTTTCGGAACGTTTCACTCTTTTTTATTTTTCTGTTGGCATTTAAAGAGCATAATTATTAAGGAACTTACATTTCATACACAATATTTGCAGTTACTTTGTGTGTGATCCAACAATGAATTGATCTCAGAGCAAAAGGCAGTAGTGGTGCTTTGTTCCTGAATGAATCAGTGCTTTTGAATGAATAGGTTGAGTAAACGATTCAATGACTCACTCTGAAATACAGTCACCTGTTTCACTGAATGAATGAATCGGTTCTTTGAACGAATCAGTTGAATGAATGATTCACTCATAAATGAATTTCTCGCCACCTACTGGCGTAACTTTGAAACATGCAGATAAAGACCTGGTGTACTCAAGTATTATTTTGTTTGGAAATGTATATTCTGAAAATCAACAACAATAAAGAATTGAAGTTATATACATTTAAAATATATTTGAAACATTTTTATTTGTTAGAAAAAATTTCAAAAGTCTAAATGGGGAAAGAAGATATTATTCAAAGAAATTGTCAAAATTAAGTGAGTTTGTTTGAAGATTATTTTTTTTATTTGAAGATTATGATTTTTTTTAGCTAAAGTAAATAATTGATTTATTAGATAAATTACTGATACTATATCATTTTTATTTGTAAGCCTAAATGCATATTGTTAGGTAATTGATGAATTGTGTGCTTCTACTTTGAACACTGAAATGAATTAATTTATTTTGTTTTATTTATTTTAGTTTATTTGCTTTTGAATGAATCGGTGATTCAATGACTCACTCATTTATACAGTTACATGTTCTGCTGAATGAATCAGTGTCTTTAAAGCAATTGGTTGAATGAGTGATTCAATGACTTATTCAAAAATTAATTTGTCGCCACCTACTGACGTAACTATGTAACATGCAGAGAAAGACACTGAAAATCCCCACCACTAACACACAGACTGACAGTCTGTCTGAAACTCAGACAAACAGAGCAAAAAGTCTAAGTGATTCAACCTATCAAATCCAAGGACTGGAACTAACTGCTGTAAGCTGCAATCTGTTATATAGTGTATATCCAAGATATAATATGTCTGACAACTTGGACAGCAAGCATGCATCTTCTAAACGAACAATAGGAGTTGCACAATTCAGAGTAGCCCGGTTTTACATGTTAGGGGCAAAATTCATGTGCTCTTTGATGTCAATAAATATTCAAAACAAGGCCTTTTGTATAGTGAGTGGTGTGTGAGTGATTGGCAGCTGTGGCGATGCTCTCAGGGTCTTTACCTTCCCGGATCAGTCTGATGAAGTAAATGGGATGGCCAGTGCTTGAGCGACTCCACCCTAATTTAATGATTTCCTGCTGGGCTGTAAACAGCCTCCTGCTGTGTCTGTGTGAGTTAGTGTCTCCCAACTTTGCTCGCTCAGCCCAGATGCCAACGACAACAAGCAGCCAGACAGAACCAACACTGACTTACCCACAATTCCACAGGGCAGTGGAGCCAGGCTGATGGGGAAGGCAGTGGAATGCATCAGGTCAGGCACAGTTTTGTTCCAACCCTGCTCCAACACACATACCATGCAGTTTTCAAATAAGCCTGAAAGACTTGATTAGTTGGGTCAGGTGTGTCTAATTAGAGTTGAATCTAAACTCTGCACGGCTCTGTCCCTCCAGGAACTGAGTTTGACACCCCTGATGTAGGGAAGATCCAGGTACACACACACACACACACACTCACACTCACTCTCT